CCACCTCGCAGGAGGAACGGCATCTTGCCACCCACATGGGCACTACTTGTCTACCTATCGGTCTCCTCCGCAGAACCACAGTGAGAGAGAAATGGAGCTACCTCGGTTCTGTAGGAGGTCCACAGAGTCAGAAGGGCAAATGGCCAGGCCTGTCCCAGAGTTGCAGCGGGGGAGGCAAGCAGAGGCCACCACCAGGTCTAGCACCCCGGTGGGTCTCACATGGGATAGCACTGATACGTGGCGGCCCAGGACAGTAGCTTCTGTCCCAAGGCCCCTGGAGGTCCCAGTGGGCTCCCTGAGCTCTGGGAAGGGTTCTGAAGAGCTGGGGTTAAGCAGTTGCTTCTCAAGGCCACTGTGGCTGCTGAAGCCACAGGCTTCCTGCTCCAGCCCGCAACCGTGGTGGCTCACTGTCCTCTTTGGGCAGCGCAGGTTGAGCAGAGGCTCTGACTGACTTCTTGGGCCTGGCCAACCAAACAGGATTAATTATTACTCAATAAAGGCAGGTGTAACGGACAAAACTGTGTAAAGCGCATGGTTCAGGAGGGGACTACCTGGTACTGCCGCGAGCTCACAGGCACAGCAAATAAGCTGCTCCTCCCCTTGGTCCTCCATCCCACAGAGATGTGTGAAATACCCACTGGGCTAGGAGAGGCACATATATTATCTCATTCCATCCTCACCACCGCTCTAGGAGGTGGGTTCTCATTTTAGCATCCCATTTTACAGATGGGAAAACTAAGGCGCAAGAGGTTAATTTCCCCAAGGTCACACAGTTAAGCGAACCCAGTCTACTTAGCCCCAAAGCACCTGCTTTCCTCTACCTCACTCCACTGCTTTGTTCAACGTGCCTCGATTTCTCTTATCTTGACTCTGTCACTGGGTCCCTGCCCAGTGCTCCCTGCAGCCAAGTCTGCTTTAGTTGCTGTCCCATAGAATGCTGGCCCAACCCCTCTGAAACCAGGTGCTTGCCTGATTTCAATGCATCGTGTGCTCCATGGAAGCCCACCGCAGAGGCAGAAGAGGCATTATTGCGACCCCACAGAGGAGGCTCAGCATAGCCACACAGGGTGCCTTGTGGAAACACAGCCAGTGGGAAGTGGACCTGGGGGTCCAAGCCAGGCTGGCTGACTTCAAACATCCACGTGCCCGGGCACCTCCCCACACCAGCACCAGGGGACCCTGGCTCCAGCTCAGCGGGGCAGAGCCTGGGGGAAGCATTTGTCCATATGACTGAGATACCATTTATGCATTTCTTACAACCCTACTTGGAGGTTCCCTTAGGGCTGCAGAAGCAGAGCTCAGATCCTGTCATCTAACCTGGGCCACACTTGAGCAATTCCTGAGAAAACATCGGGGAGGTGGCAGCTGGTCGCTGCAATAAAACAAACACAACAGTAGTCCCTACCACGGCAGGTACATTCAGCACCCGCCTCTCTCTGAATCACAGCCCATTTGATCTGGAATGGTCTCAGCTAACAGCAGGCAGAGGGGGGAGGGGCTCTGTCCCAGAGCCCACAGCCCAGCAGGATGAGGCGGACGGCAAACAGTCACACAGACGCGCAGCTCTGTGCCAGGGTAAAGGGGAGGCAGGTGGAGCTAAGAGAGTCCTCAGGATGGGTGGTGGTGTCCCCATTGTACAGAACTGGGAACCTGGAAACTGAGGTTCAGGGGTGCAGCACCTCTCCCAAGGTCTTTCCTCTAGTGGGCCAAAAAGCCAGGATTCACCTCCAGGCCTGTGCCCATTCTACCCTGGTCTGCTGCCATCCTGGACAACCACACTGTGGAAATCTCAAGAAAGAATCAATTCATTGAATAGTGTTTCTTTTCTATGAATTTATATAAAACACCCTAAATAGAAGGGTTATTCAGCCACAGGCAGCGTGGAGTTTGTGGTGACAGATAGGTCACGTCAGAAACCTCATTCTGGGGGCAGTTTCTATGACAAAACTGTATTCCCTCCTATGGACTGTAAGCCATGTGACTGACTTAATAACAGCTTTGGGGGGTTTAAAACATTGCACTGGCCTGTTACACGTACACATCGATCCTGAGACACATTCTGATCACAGGAATGTTAAAACGTTGGGTGGGGGAGCCAGGCCTCTCACAATCGAGCTATTGTGTCAGGTCTATTCTCTGGTGAAATCAGCCTCTCTTGGGGCCAGCAGCCTCAGAGCCTCCCCCTCCGCCCCCCCCCCCATGCCGCCTAGACCTCCAGACTGGCAGGCCCAAGACCGCGGCGGAAAAGCCCAGGGTGAACTCTGTTCTGATCCCCAAGTGATGCCTGAGGACCCAGGAATGCCCAAAGTCCTGCCCGAGATGGTCCCTCTCCACCCTCCACGAGGGAAGGCTTGTGTCTGTCTTAGTTACTGCTGAAGCATCAATATCCACTCAAGGCCAGGCAGAGATCTGTGGAATGAATGAATGAGTGAGTGAATGAATGAAGCAAGCCTCAGACCCAGGCTCTCAAGCAAACAAGCCTCTTTATCCCAGGGTGCCACACCCTGCCCTCCTGGACCCTGTTGTCCAGCCAAGGTTCTCTTCTGGGGCTGGATCAGCTGCCCCCACAGCCCCCCAAGGTGCCCTGCCTGGGCACTGATCATTACCTGTGTCACAAATGCCTGTGCCCCTCTGGCCTCCTGCGTGCCCTTGGAGGGCAGGGACCTAGCCTACCTTGTTCTGTTCTATTTCCAGCCTCTGGAAAGGTGGCTGGCACAGGGGAAATGCCTGGGAAATACGTTCAATGAAGGAAATTCTTGAATCCCTATTTGGTAAGCCAGGTGCCATCCTGCATGCTGGGCATTCAGAGGGGGAATCTGCCCCGACCGCTTCTAGGAAGCTATGGTCTGGGGTAGACAATCAGATGAGTACAATCTGAGTCTCGGGTGCCGGAATGGAGGCGGCCACAGCTGCTCTTGAGAGCTGGGAGGGGGGACCTCACTGCAAGTGGCTTCATGATAAGGCCAACGTAGAAAGGAAGACCGGCACACATCAGGCGGGACAGCGGGGGAAGGTGCTTGAGACAAAAAGCACAGCGCATGCAAAGGCAGGGAGGCATGATGACGCAGGCTCTGTTTTTAAGCAGGACACTGACGTGATCAGATGGGTTAGAAAGATAGCCCGGGAGCTGTGTGCAGTGTGGACTGCAGGGGAGAGAGCACCCAAAGGCAAGGAGGCCAGTTAGGGTTGTGTGGGTGAGGAACCTGGCTCTGGAGTAGACATCTGATTCCTAGCTCAGCTTCACCACTTGGCAGCTCTGTGACTTCATCCCTAACCTCTGTTTGCTCATCTGTGAAATGGGGATAATCAAAGCTCCTGCATCACAGAGTTGCTGGGATCAGTAAGGTAGGCACAAAAAGTGCTTGTTTCAGTGCTCAAGGACAAACACATGCAAACAAGCCAGGGTGGCCCTGGTGCTAACTGCTCGGCCTGGCCTAGAAGAGCAGCTCTAGGCACAGCCTGGATTTCCCAGAAAGCCATTCTAGGGCAGTGCTATTCACGCAGCCCAATTTCTCTTTCTTGTCCGAGGCTTCCCCAGTTCCAGGGCTCTAGAGCACACTAGGCACTGCCGGAAATGCAGCAGCCAACTCAGAAGCTGGACTCTGAAATGGCTTCTGCAGACTCTTCCCCGCCTCTGCTCTGTTGGCCGGGGCTCCTGGCACAGAGGGCTCAGTGCACAGACTTTGGGGGAATCTCAAAATGGTTCCCAAATAATGCACTGTGCAAAAGTAGCAGCAGTATCCTTGTCCCACCCGGCAAAGGCAACCCCTCCCCGCTGCCTAGCCACACCCCCTTTTGCCCTGTGATCTCAGTGTGACCACAGCCTACCTCCTCCATGAACTCAGCCCTTTCTTGGAGCCAACTCCCCAATGGCAGGAGCACCAGAGCCCAGGGCATTACATAGATTCAACCCCCCAACACCACTCCTCCAGGCAAATCTGTCTGATCCTAGACTATCTGCTTCTCTGGTTCACGCCTGTGTTCCCATCACTCATGACCAGGTTGTCGCAATACATGATGGCTGGCTGGATGGGTAAGGGAAGGCTGGGTGGATGGATAAATGGCTCATTCAAAGGTCTTAAATGAGCTGACTGGAAGGGTTTGGGAGTTGGCTCTGGACTACCTGGGTGCCTTCTGGTGGGGAATGATTCACAGGATACTAGGCTGGGAGGGGATGGCAGTTGGAGACCTGGATATTCCCTCCCTGGCCTCCAGGCTGGTGGTGACTCATCCAGGACAAACGATGCACAGTCCTTTCTCCAGGTTTTCTAAGGTGAGGATGCCACTGCTCATCCTAGGTGCCCATTTTGGGGTCTCACCACTTGCATGATCAAGAAGCTCTTTCTAACACCCAACAAAACTCACCCTTGTGCTGACCTGAAAGCCACTTCTACTTATTCAGTCAACAGTGAGTAAGAAGTAATCTGCATCCTGGCTGTTAAACAAATAAGCACCTTCTACTCATACTGGTTGGAAAGAACCTTGATGGAAGAGAGGGTATGGACCTGGCAGTGGACAGCTAAATCCCAGTCCTGATCTTTACTCCGAGTGACCTTGAGCAAGCTGCCTAACCTTTCTGGACCTGGGTTTCCTCTACTGCTAAACACAGATAATAACTTTCTCCTAGGTAAGGGGACCACATAATTTGTTGCTCAATCAGGATACTTTTGAGAGTGAAAAGGGGGCACTATTAATAATTCCATAAGACAAAAGACCTCAACTGGGGCCAACCAGGATGCATAGCCCCCTACTTAGAGGGTTGCTTGAGCCAGTGAGATGGAGTACAGTTGGGCACAAGTTCACAGCAAACAACGCAGTCATTATTATTAACACTGTTGGTCATGTGGTCAGATGGGCTCTCTGGGGCCTTTTCTTCTGGACTTTTCCTTCACCTGGATCCCTCCCACATCCTGGGTTACCAGCCAGTTTGGCTGTCACTCCACCAGCACTCTATACATTTCAGCAGCTTTAGTAGGAACAACTGCCAGTTAACTTTGATGTTTTCATCTGTCTCTTTTCTGTCCTGGTGCTCGTTTAACAATCTTGATTCATGCTCAGGTCCATCAGACTCACTCAAGCACAGCTCAAGTTTCTAGCTTCCCAGAACCCCGACGTCAGGGCAGCAGCAGTTCCAGATTCCCTCGCTGCCTTGGCAGAGGCCCACTTCTCAGGCCTCCTGCGGTGCTGGGATGCCTCCTCTGGCCTGGACCTATGCTCAGCTTTCATCTGTGGTCACAGACAGACTAACCGGGGCAGTACCAGCTGGGGGTGGTACTGAGTCCTCCAGGCAGGACTGGAGTCTGGACTGATGATGAAACAACTCAGGGTTCTGAGTCCTCCAGGCAGGACTGGAGTCTGGACTGATGATGAAACAACTCCTGAGAGCCAGATTTAACATGGAGGTTTCCTTGGGGTCTGCAGTCCTGGGGATCGCCACGGCTCTCCTGTCTTCCTTCTGCGTAGGGCATCAGAGAACAATCTCTTTGCGATTTCCTGTCACTTTGGCACTTTGGTTTCTATACATTCATAGTAAGGTATATTTTGGGATTCTGTCATTGGCTCTACTACTTAATAATTTCATGATTTGGATGAATGACTCATGGTCTTCAAATCCCAACAGTTTCCTCATGTAAGTGAGGATAATTGTCAGCCCTGCTGTTAGCCTTAAAAGCATTTTTGTGGGAATTAGAAAACTGCTGTAACATACACAGCTACAAAGACCATGAGTGTGAGTTGTGCCTAGAGTTGCACAGTGCACACCCGGGGCCACCGGGGCCCTGAAATACCAGGGCCTCCCTCCCAGGACTACTGGGGGGAGTAAGTGAAATGACGTATATGAAGTGTTTCAGCCACAGTGATAATTGGCTGTAGTTATTATCTTTATGATTTGAACTTCTCCCATTCCGGACCTTTGGAGTGAGGACTCAAAAAGAGCACCCCCAGCCAGCAGCTTCTGCCACAGGGCAGGACACACAGCTCTGCCTTATGAAAATGATGATTCTTCCCACAAAGTGGCCCCTTGCCTGGGTTGCAGCTCCGCGGTGGTAAGAGGGATGTGGACGCACGGTGTGTGGCCCCACCACACCAGGCCAGGCAGGGACACTCAGACGCAGCCCACTGGAGGCTGGGTGGGACTCAAGCCCGAGCCCCAGGGAGGCAGCCTCCCTGCGTTCAAAGGCTGTCACATGGCGCAGTCACACCGGCCTCGCTGTGGGAGGAAAAGCCCGTGCATAATGGAAACTCCTCACAATACAATGTGGAAAAGCAATTTTAAGAATCGTTTTGATTTTAATTTTGAAGCCAAGGAAAACAGTTGGACTTGCTTTTCTTTGTTGGTCACAGGAAGAAACTGAGGAGCATCACTTTGATTGGAATTGAGTTCTTCTCCAGGCCTAAGATGCCTGGAATGCTTGGGGGAGTTATTTCTCTCGGGATGCAATTAGTTGAATAAATACCAAGAGAGCAAAAGTAAACAAACTCATTACTGCCCATTAAGAAGTGCCAAACTAGCAAAAAGCTGGAGGGGAGAGGGGGAAGTCAGGGTTGGAATCTTTAAGGAGAATAAATGATTCCCTGTTGAGCGCAGTGCAGAGAGCAGGCCCTTGGTATCAGGCTGACCCGAGTTCTCATCTGCCGTGGGTTCCTGGGCCAGTCACATAGCCTCTCTGGGATTCAATGTCTCCACTGATAAAATGGAGGGAACAGCAACCCCACTGGATTACCTGGGCCAGTGCATGTCAGGCACCCTGCACGCTGCCCTTGCCTTGCCTTCCTTCCTGTAACCAATCAGCTCAAGTCACCCCACTAAGCCCAGGCCCCATGGAGACAGATCAGTAGGAACCAGAATTAAGCATACAGTTTCAAGAGGTCCCACCCCTAGCAATGTGACCTCAAGCCAGTTACCCCACACGTTTCTGAGTTTCCTTACTCTCAAAACAGGCACCATACTAATAACTAGTTATGAATGTTGGAGTGATTAAATGAGTCAATGTGTATGCAAAGGACCTGGAAACCTGAAACCCTGTGTAAGTGTTAGTCAAAGACATGGTACAAGTGCCTAACTCAATGCCTGGCCCAAACTTAGAGCTCCTTACTGCTAGTTTGTATTGTTACCACTTTTGTTGTTGTTCCTGTTATCCTACCGCTACCACACCACTCCAATCTTTGGTTTCTGAAGTGCTTCCGTGTTCCTTGCCTACTGTGCAAGGTGGGTTGGATCACTCCATTTCACAGAAGAGGCTCAGCCCCTGAGATCTCAAGTCTCAAGAGCTTTGCCTGGGGACCAGTGAGAGCCACTTGGGAGGGGACAGAACCCAGTGACAAACAGTGCAGTCCTCCCGGTCTGGAAGCCTGGGAAGGTTTGGAAACCAACCCTTTCCTGGAACCAGGTTGCCTCCCTGAGCCTCTGGCAGTTTCTTGGCCATGGGTGAGGCCAATGCCCGCCCCAGCACAGAAAGGTATTTGTCATCAGCTGCTACAGGTAAGCAGCCGGAAGAAGGCAGTGGCACCGCAGGCGGGCCCTAGCTCAGAAGGATGGGGGAGGGGCGGGTTTTCCCCATTGTTCTGGGGCAGGCGTGGCTACCGGCTCCGAGCCGCCAAAGCACCATTGGAAACCAGGCAAACACTTCCAAACTCAGCTGGGTTTCCACTGACGTCACTGCAGCCCTACCTCCTAGCAGAACCCAAACCAGAAGTTCTTGAACACCTTTCTCTCCCTGGGCAGAAAGGCCTGAGCTGCCCAGTGGAACCATGCTTGGGCTTTGTCACTTAAGTGGAAAACAGCTCGGCGCACCCCCAGGGGAGCATAGGGCCTGTTTTGTAGCTGCCCACTGGCTGGCACAAGGTGAGCCTGGACCCAGCGTGCTCACCGGAGAAGCCCCCAAAGGGGTCCAGGGAGGACAAAACCTTTAGGGCTTGTGTCGTGGTTGTTATTTTAGCATAGCTTAATGTGAAAGCAGAAAGTGGTGACGCTAACACCTTTTTACTACTAAAAACCAGATTAAATACATTTCTGTGCGGTAATTGAGAGTTTTAAGGTTCGAGTCCATCAGACCAGGTTTGAACCCTGGTTTTGCCACCTTCTAGTTTTGTGATCTTGGGCAAATCACTTAGCCTCTCTGAGTCTCAGTTTCCTCATCTGTAAAGTATAAGGAACAGCAGCAACCACCTTAAATACAAGAAAGCAGAAAGCACTTGCAAAATCTTCCCCACGGGGTAGGTTCTCAGTAAACAGATGCTGTGGGTGTTACTAATAAACAGCGTGGTGCGGCCCCTCCTCTGTGCAGCTCCCACCCTCTGGCGTCACTTGTGCATGGGTCCCTGCCCTCACATCCCTCTTCCCAGCACTCCCCACCGGTCGGCTCCTGGGGACTCCAGGCCACGTGCTAAGCAGGGAGACAGCATCTGATGGTGATGAGGACTCTGGAGGGAGGAGGTGGTGAGGTCCTGATATTAAATAAGCAGGGAGGGTCTCACTGAGAAGGTGACACTTCAGCAAGACCTGAAAGAGGCAAGGGAGTGAAAAGTGAAGACAGGAGTGAGAGTGTCTGGACTGGGAACAGCAGGTGCATGGGCCCTGAGTCCGAAGTGTGCTTAGCAAGCTTGAGGACCATTCAGGCAGCATTGTGGCTGCAGGGGTGCCTGGGGGAGAGGGGTGAGGGAGGAGATCAGTGAGGGAGCAAGGGCCAGATCATGGATGGCCCTGGAGACTCATTAGCTTTTTCTCCAAGCTGGGAACCCTTGCACGGTTGTGAGTATTAGAGTGACCCAATCTAACTTTTTTAAAAGGATCACTCTGGCTGGTGGGTTGAGGACAGACTATAGGGTGGACAAGGGCAGAGGAGGGAGACCAGTTAGGAGACAACTGCAACGGGCAAGGTGAGAAGTGCAGGTTAGATGTGCCAGGTGGTGGCAGGGGAGGTGGGGAAATGCAGTAGGATTCTGGGAATATTTCCAGGATATTGCTATCATAATTTGGTGGTGAAATTAGATGTGGGGTATGAAAGAAACAAAGGAGTCTAGGATGACTTCAAGGTTTTTGGTCTGAGCAACTAGAACAGAGTTGCCAGAAAAATTTGGATGAACAGGTTGGGATGGAGGTATGAGGAAAAGCAGGAGTTTATTTCTGGATAAATTGAGATACTTAGTAAATAGCTAAGTGGAAGGTCAAAGGTGCGACCTTCAGATATGAGTCTAGAGTCTGGGGGAGAGGTCCGGGCTGGAGAAATAAACGCGGGTGTGATCGGTGCTGCAAGGAAGCAAAGACTGGACGAGACCACCAAGGCAAACAGTGTCTGAGGACAGAGCTCTGAGCCCTTGACAGTAAGAGCACAGGAATATGAAGACGAACCAGTAAAGGAGGCTGAGGAGCGGCCAGGGAGGCCGGAGGAAAGGGTGGTGTTCTGGAAAGGCAGTTTAGGAGGCACCAAGCCCCACAGAGGTGACAGGCAAACTACTACTGAGGACCGAGAACTGGCCCTTTGCTCTGGCAAATGGGGACCACTGGTGATCTCGTCTAGGGCACCTGGAGTGGAGGGGAGGGGGCAAGTCCTGATGGGGTGGGCTCAAGAGGGAACAGAAGAGAGGAACTTTCTGGAAACAGTGAATGTAAGCAATTCTTTGGAGGGCTTTGCTAAAAAGGAGAACAGAGAAATGGAACAGTAGCTGGAGAGGAGGTGTGAGGTCAGAGAGTTTTAAGTTGAGAGAAATAACAGCGGGACTATAGGAAAAATGTGACAATGCAGAAGAGGTGGGGGAGGACCGCTGGAGCCAGGCCCTGGAGTGGGCGAGAGGAGGCATCTAGCGCATGTCCTCCCCTCCTTGGCCCGCCTAGCTCCTCCTCATCCCCCAAGGGTCAGTGTAAAGGCCACTTTCTCAGGGAAGCATTCCTGACCCCTCCATTAGGTCAGTTCCCTGTTATACCCTCTCTGAGCATGTGATCCTTCTGCTTCACGGCGCCTGGGAGTGCTGTCATGATGTGGAAGCCCCGTGAGGGCAGGAGCTGGCTCTGTGCTGTTTGTAGCTGCAGCCCCAGGAGCCAGCACACTGCCAGGCACACCGTAGATGTTCAGTGGACATCTGGTGAAGGGATGAATGGTCCAAGAATAGAACTAAAACAATCCAGAGGCACGTGTCTGTGCTCTGCTCCCTTCTGACTTAATCACGTTGCAGTGGTCAGGACCATGCAGCCACTGGCTATTGCAAATATTTGGATTTATTATAGAAGAGCTCATTTGTTTGTTCCTGTTTGGGCTCTGTAGCTTAGCTAACACACAGACTAGAGCCATGTGACCAGACACATCCTTCCACCGACACTGTCCACTAAAAACTGAACACATTCCATACTGTGTCTAGCAATTCATTCATTTAACAAATATTTGCCAAGACCCTGCTTGGTACAACATCCTGGGGAAACAGGGTTGAATCAGACACAGGACCTGTCCTCATGGAGTTTAGAGCCCGGCAGAAGAGATTAAACAGAACTGCAATTCATCACAACTGTGGCATGTGTTACAGAGGAAAGCTTATGGGGTGTGAGAGTGTAGAATGGGGAGACTTATTGGTCTGAGGAGTCAGAGGCGGAGGAGAAGGGAGACTGGACAACAGCCTGTAGCTTCCCTGATTTTGTTCTTGAGCTCCAGGCCAGGAGCTCAGCAAGAGGGCTGTGGACATTGGAGCTGGGTCCACGAGTGGCAGGGCCATGGCCTCCTGCCTTCACATGCCCCGGGCCGTTCCCTTTCCCTTTCCGGGCCCTGCCTGTCTCCTTCTGTTGCTTGCAGAATGGCTGCCCTCCTCTCTGACTCCAGGATGGTAGAACGTGGCCTTCTGAAGCTGCGCGTTTGGAAAGCTTTGCCTGGGGAGAAGGCTGGGATTACTGATGGCACAGGGCACGGGCATGGTGGACCATCACTGATTCTCCCCTCTGTTTACTTTCAGGCTTTCATAGATTCTGTTCACAAAGAACAACCAGCATTTTGCAAGGACCATGAGGCCACTGTGTGTGACGTGCTGGTGGCTGGGACTGTTGGCTGCCATGGGAACTGCTGCAGGCCAGGAGGACGGTTTTGAGGGCACTGAGGAGGGCTCGCCCAGAGAGTTCATTTACCTGAACAGGTACAAGCGGGCAGGCGATTCCCAGGACAAGTGCACCTACACCTTCATCGTGCCCCAGCAGCGGGTCACAGGCGCCATCTGCGTCAACTCCAAGGAACCCGAGGTGCTCCTGGAGAACCGAGTGCACAAGCAGGAGCTGGAGCTGCTCAACAACGAGCTGCTCAAGCAGAAGCGGCAGATTGAGACACTGCAGCAGCTGGTGGAGGTGGACGGCGGCATCGTGAGCGAGGTGAAGCTGCTGCGCAAGGAGAGCCGCAACATGAACTCGCGGGTCACGCAGCTCTACATGCAGCTCCTGCATGAGATCATCCGCAAGCGGGACAATGCGCTGGAGCTCTCCCAGCTGGAGAACAGGATCCTTAACCAGACAGCTGACATGCTGCAGCTGGCCAGCAAGTACAAGGACCTGGAGCACAAGTACCAGCACCTGGCCACGCTGGCCCACAACCAATCAGAGATCATTGCGCAGCTCGAGGAGCACTGCCAGAGGGTGCCTGCGGCCAGGCCTGTTCCCCAGCCGCCCCCTGCCACCCCGCCCCGGGTCTACCAGCCGCCCACCTACAATCGCATCATCAACCAGATCTCCACGAATGAGATCCAGAGTGACCAGAACTTGAAGGTGCTGCCACCCCCTCTGCCCACCATGCCTACCCTCACCAGCCTCCCATCCTCCACAGACAAGCCTTCGGGTAAGTCCTTCCGGGATCCCAATCCATGTGGGCCCCAGAGCCAGGCTTCCCTTGGCTGTGACCACAAGTGGGGAAAAAGCCATGGCCAGCTGAAGCCGGGCCAGAGACTTGAGCAATTCCCCAGCGATCACTTGGGCTGAGCCAAGTGGGAGTCAGTGGGGTGAGGAGGGACCACATTCCTTAGACGGATGCTCAAAGGTAGAACAGAAAGGAAACAGGAAGTTCACAAGAGGGCAATGTTCTCTGACTTCTGCTAGGAAGGAACCCAAGGCCTAAAGTTCTCCAGGCTCTGCACAAGATGCTCTGTGCTGACAGATAGGATGTCTCTCCTGCAAGCTCATGGACTGTGCCTGGCACATTCTGTAAATGCTCACCAAATAAACAGTAGGCCAAAAGAAAACAAAGTGTTATCACATTAAAAGTATGACAAACACTTTGTAGGGTTGGGGGATGGAAGGAGTCCTTTCTAAAGCCCACACTTTTCTTAGGGTCTAGAATTTTCAACAATGCTTCCATATACTCTTACATACACATTTCTTCTTAAAATATGGTAATTCTCAGAATACCAGTATTGGGGGAGGAATGGGGTTGCTGGCAGGTTTTGAAGCTTAACCAAGATACAAGCACGGGCATTTCCATATATATTACGTAAGTAACCCCTGCAGCTCCTTACTGACAGGTTAAATAACTTGCTCATAGGCTTAGGATCTTGAGGCTAGAAGTGAATTCAGACCTTTCACTTCAAGGCCCTGGTGACTCCTCTATGTTTTAGGAGTCTTGGAAACCTCACTGCTGGGTGGAGCAGGCCAGAGGCTCCCTGTCAGGATGTCGACACTAGCCCAGCCCCGTGAAGCTCGGCCTCTCATTCATGCAGGACACTTTAGCCGTCCCAATGGGCTGCTGTATGAGAACTAGATTCATCTTTGCAAAAACAAACCATGTGTCTGCTCCAAGTCAGTGCTTTTCGTACCACTTCATTGTATAAGCAGGGAGATATTTTTACTAAAAATATCCCATAATTTTTATTATTTCACACTTTATTTATTTATTTATTTTTGAGACAGAGTCTCGCTTTGTTGCGCAGGCTAGAGTGAGTGCCGTGGCATCAGCCTAGCTCACAGCAACCTCACACTCCTGGGCTCAAGCGATCCTCCTGCCTCAGCCTCCCGAGTAGCTGGGACTACAGACATGCACCACCATGCCCGGCTAATTTTTTATATATATATATTTTTAGTGGGCCAATTAATTTCTTTCTATTTATAGTAGAGACGGGGTCTCGCTCAGGCGGGTTTCGAACTCCTGACCTAGAGCAATCCGCCCGTCTTGGCCTCCCAGAGAGCTAGGATTACAGGCGTGAGCCACAGGCGCCCAGCCTTATTTCACACTTTAAAAAATAACCACCAGTACTGGGAAGAGCAGCTTCTTGCTAATTCCAGAGAGGGGCTGAACCTGAGCGCAGGAGGGTGGCCAGCAGCAAGGACAAGCGCAGCATCGCTTTCAGGCCGGCTGGTGGCGGGAGGACCTAGATGCAGGGCAGAGCGTCTGCTGTAGCACCTCGAAGGAAAGACCTGGCCCGGTGTAAGGGGCTGAGAGCAAGTGCTTTGGAGTGGACAGACCTGGATTTAAATCCTGGTTCCTCCATGGATTAGCTCTGGGACATGAGGCAAGTCACTTTGTGTCTCTGAACCTGTTTCCTCATCTGTCACTTGAGGATAGATTAAAACAGTGCCTATCAAGTAGTATCCACAGGCATTATTTTAATTTATTCCCAACTGACATTTCTATGAAATGAAATACTGGAAAAAAAAAAATGTGGTTAGCACAGTGCTGGGCCCACAGTAAGCTATGAGTCTCCTTTGATCTTGGTCTCTTCATCTTAAAACAAAGAGAGTAAAACAGTCAATCCCTTTTTAGCTCTGGTGTTCTATCTGTACACATCTGGGGTGTTTTTTAATTTGTAAATTTAAGGGGTACAAGTGCAGTTTTAAATCAGAAGCTCCAAAAGAGAGGACAGGGTGTGTTAATTTGATAGAATACCCAGAGGGGAAAACATGCCCTTGGACACCAAATGAAGGCTCGGCTGAATGTTGTTATGATCCTGAATGAATCAGGCTGATCTCAATGGTTACCCAACAGATCTCATCTCACCTAAGCATCTCTGGTTTCTAACTCAACAATTTCAGGACATTTCTGAGATTAAACTAAGCTAGTAAGTATATAGTATAAAAATAAAGACCTGCATGCACACCCAGGCTCTTGCCCTTGTTAGCTGTTTGCTCATGAGGTTATTTAACTCCCCTGAGCCTCAATTTTCTTCTCTGTAAAATGGGGACAAGACTCACAGCTTCACAAGGTTATGCTGAGGAAACTCAATACAATCAAGCATGTAATGTCATGTCAGCCAAGGTCACAGTGCTAGACTTGGGGGAGCTGGTGACAACTCTGGTCCCTGATCTCCAGGAACTCAGTCTGGGGGAGGTGGCAGCTGCACCTCTATCTAGCCCCTAAAATCAGCCAAGAAGGTCTGACAAAGGAATTCTCTGGGAGGGAGCATCTGTCAAAGCCAAAATTTCCAGAACATTGTGAGAATTTATGGAACCAACGTTAACAAAGTACCTAAAATCAGGAATGCAGGGAAAACTGGGCTGTCTGGTCACTGCAGTAATACCCTACCGTGCTAAGTGCCCCTCAGAGGGGCATGTAAGAGGCTAGGCAGACACTAAGGTGGCATGACTGAGCCTGCCTGGAGGGAAGGGAGAGGTTCCCTTTCCAGAAGTAGCACTTCTTTGTTGGATCTTTAAGGGTCTGTGAGAGTTTCCCAGGCAGACCTGGGGGTTGGGAAACCAAGTTATGAGTGGGTCCCTGATGGAGATGAGTTCATGCAAAGATCCAGGGGCATGGTCCTACTCCTGATACCTACAGTGATCCCCAGACCCTACTTCTTTATGTTCTCAGTCCAGTGTGGGCTGTGTGTACCCAGGGCTCCTGCGCTCACCCACCCCTTGTCTCCCACTTAGAAAGCACGCTAGCATGGGAAGGAATGGCAAGGATCTCGTTATAGAGAACTTGAATGCATGATAATTCACATTTTTTTAAAAAGCAAAGTCTCCCCAAATGTTGGTATTTGATCATTAGCAGATTTCTTGTGACCCATCTCACTGCTGAGCCCCTGCACAAAGTGCTCCCAGCTGGGACTGAGCACCCAGCCGTGGACGCTGCATGACAGGCGGAGCCAGAAAGTGAGCGACTAGGGCAGGGCCCTGCCCATTCTCAGTTCCTGGTGTTGGACTGAACTGGGAGGACGAAGCAGATGGTCTCTCTCCCAGCCGATCAGCAGAGAGCTCTTATCAGGCCTATTCTGACAGTTTAGGGCAGGTTCTGATCCTGCAAGACAAAACCCTCTTCTGTGCTCTAACCCAACAGATCCTTTGTTCCTGGGGACATTGCCCAGCCAGAAACACCTTTGCAATGAAACACCTTTGCACCCAAGCCATGGCAGCTTTTAAATCTTTCATTTGACAACCCAGAGCCATCTGCTCTTTCCTCTTTGTCTGGGCCGCTCAGCCCACAGCATGCCCTTCCCCTGGGGTCTGAGGGAGCTGCAGCCGCTTATCTGAAGCTGCACTCTCAGGCTTGTTCCCAGCCACAGTGGGACAGTCACAGGCTGGCACAGGAAGGCAGGTGGCTCCTGGCTTCTCACTTGGGCTTTGTCAAATCTCTCTCAGGTCTGGCCAGCCCTAGGGCCATTTTGGTTAGGATGATACCATGACGGGCCAGGCTGGTGCTGAGGAAGGCTGCGGGGTCATTCTCTTAAAGGCCAAGGACAGGATGGGTGCCTGGGCTCTGGGAGGCTGTTTCCAGCCAAACCTGCACACGCCAGCCCTCCTGCACTGTGCTTGTCCCAGAGACCCATCAGGGAGCAAAAGATAAGGCCACCACTAGCTGCCATGGCCAGGCTTTGTCAGAAACAAATCTTTAAAGACTAAAAGCAGTGGGTACTTCTAATTGTTTCCTCTCCCCTAGAATGAGAACATAACCAGCTCAGTTTATTTCTCAATGGATGAAGAAGGGGCCATAAAATCATGAAATGTTAGAACTGTTAGGGGCCTCTCGGGTCCCCTTATGCAGCCTTCCTGTCACAGAGCCTGTCGAGGGCAAAGCTAGATAGGTACCTGAACCTGTGACTTCTAGGATATTGAGGTTCGGAGAGGTCAGGCAACTTAGCCACGATTACACAGCTAGTAAGTCATTCAGGCAAGGCTCAAACCCACGTCTGTCTTAACTACTCTGAGCTGTTGCGCATCTCCATGGGGAGGCTGAAGGGGGACTATCGTCCCATGAATGCTTGGCTTGGCCCCAGCTGTCAGGGACTACACCTTCTGCCATGACTTCCTGGGACTAAGCAGCTCCTTAAAACAAGCTGTGGGAAAGGAGGTGGTGGGTTTGTTATTAGAACACTCATGGTTCTAATAACACAAAACACTGTGCTACAAACCCACCAATACCATGCTGCCCCTTCCCAGGCCTCACAGGAACCAACTGAGCTCTCCAACAGAAAACACAATGTGCACCTGACTCCTAGCAAGAGGACTCAACTGAAGCTGCAGGCAAATCTCATTTTTAATTTTTATCAAATCTGGACATATCCTCTGTGGTTACTTCTATTCGGCATTTCAATGTATAGCTAAGTCTGAAGTCCTGACTTCTTTAAATATTAGCTCTAGATATATAAATGTCGGTAGATATGATCTTTGGCTACATTGGGTAGCCCCCACACTGCCACCTATCACTGAGTAGTAACAGTGCACACATGGAAACCAAGGCTCTCTCACAACAGATGGACTTCAGACAGGAAGGCATGGACAACTTGAACAAGACTGTTTTCCTGGATGGATTCTTCCCCTTGTATTTTATTTCACCATGTACATGAGATCATGGTTCCTCAGCACAATAGAGAATGAAACCCATGATGCCATGGTGTCCGTCCTTTCTGGAGGGCA